GGGAAAATGTGCCTAGAGGAAAAGACAAGAACCACAGTAGTCTGGGCTTTGCTGACAGAGTATAGATGACACAAACCCAGACAGCAGGCCCTAAACGGAAGCCAGTAGCAAGCCCTGCCCAGCCTAAGCAGAGAAAACAAGAAAGAAGGGAAAGGAAGAGAGAAGAAGGACTGAGTGGGGCAGCACTGGCTCTTGCACTTCTCAATGTTTCTAGCACCTAGCACAGTGCCTGGTACGCAAAAGGCCTAATAAACGTGGCATTTAAAGGAGGAGGAAAAGCAACACTTTCTTATAAAGGTCTCCCAGGAAGGTAAAAGAAGGGCTTGAAATTTTAACAGACTCTACTAATGGGGAGGAATTCTGCTATAGCTCAAGCCATAACCTCACACATTTGCTGATGTGAGGCATGGTCAGAAACCGAGATAGCAGATGGCAGTAAATAGCTGGTCCCATGTACTTCGTCTTCTATCAAAAACAAGTGCAGCATTATGTAGAGGAAACGTTAGAAACGGCACTTCACTGTGCAGGCTCAGTTTCCTCATCTGTCATATGTAACATAATAGCTTCCTTTCTGCCTTAAGGGGCCTTCATGAGAAACCCTGAAATAAAACACAGACTACCAAATTGCTTTTCAAAGTAATGCCAAAGGCATTCACGATGGCCATATTTATCCTAGAAATAAGAAGGGAGTGAAGTGATGAAATAACTGACCTGAGATATTTGAAAGGCTCTAATGTGAAAACAATGAGCCATTTATCTGAATGTACTACAGAGGACAGAACAAAGACCAAGGAAAGTTATAGGGAGGTAGATTTCAGCAGAAAATAAGACAAAAAAATTTAGCAACTGTGAATGTTATGTGTCAACTTTGGCTAGGCCATGTTTCTCATTATTATGTAATTTTCCTCCATTTTGTGATCTGATGTAAGGGGGGTTTCCTTGAGGATGTGGCCGGCATCCAGTACATATGGATGTTCTGGCAAAGCTCGCCTTCTGTCTGTCCTGCAGCCAACACTTCATCTTCGGATCTCTGGTTCTTGGGACATGAGCCAGCAGCCTGCCAACCAACCTGCAGATTTTGGAATTTGCCAGCTCCTGCAGCCCTGTGAGCCAGAAACCTGCTGTCTGACCTGCCGATTTGGGGTTCATCAGTGCCTGCAACAGTGTGAGTCAGGAGAAGCCTCCAGCCTGACGCTTGACTCATGGATTTGGGACTTGCCAGCCTCTACAACTTCATGAGTCATTTCCTTAAAAAAAAAAAACTATTGTTGAGATTTTAATT